ATTCCACTCAGGCTGATGCGAGAACTGCTGTGATTATGCTGGGTGTTACAATTCATTTCGCACATGAACCATCCAGTCTTAAGCAGAAACCACGAGCACTTCTAACTTATTAAACTGATGGCCTATCACTCCTGCTGATCCAACTGTTGTCTCATTGTCTCGTATCAAGCCCATCAACAACCCAGAGTAGGTCACCGAAAGCACAGGAAACTTACAAACATACGGCTGTTCCAAGCCCAGGAGCTATGAAGTATCTCGGCACCGACTCCTGGCTTAGCAGCTCAAACTTAAAACAAATGGCTAGGAAGCTTCAGCTTTGAGATCAGGCTGTCTGGCGAACGAAACTGAAGAACTGCAGAAACTTCAACTTTGGCGGTCTAAGCGTCGCTTGGAGACTGGGTCTGCGCCTGTCGGTCGTACCACCTAAGTTCTTGGAGCTGTATAAGCCCAACTTCTGAATCCTCAAGCCTTGTCTCTGACCAAGTCACCATCCGCACAGCCGGTGCGGCTTGCTCCGTTGGAGTTCGAACAGTGTACGTCGAAATTCATTCCTGTGCAAGTTTTAGTTTGAGATTTTGAGCAATCGTTTGCGGCAGCATGCTCCATGTGAACTTCGATGCCTTGAGGTTTGGTGTAGTTGCAACCCTTAGAAATATCATCCTCACAACTGTTTCCAGCATCACCATTTCGAAGCCACACGATCTTACTACTGCTACCGACACAAAAAGGGCTAGCGCCGCTCATTCGTATTCCTGCTGGCTAGCATTTGCTTGTGAGCTGCCAGTACTTGACGACCATACTAATGTCTTGGGTGAGGCCTGTGAAAATCTGCTTGGGGCCTCATAGTTGGGCTATGTCTGCTACGACTTAGTGTACTCCCAGTTCCCAATTCTGGGCGAAACCTCCCTGGTTCGTACCCCAAGCTCAGGCTTTAGAGGATTTAACTGAGTTCGCAATTTTGACAAGATGAGATGTCTGTGCGTGTTTGAACTTGCCGAAACATTTCCTGAAGTGTCTGCGGAACTGCCAAACAAACAAACAAACATGGGCCGGCGACTGTCTTTTTGGACTTGACTGCCAACCAACTTTTTGAGATTGCACCAACCGAGGAAGAGAAACCCTTGCCAAACAAGGTCCAGGTTCACTCTCCGCAAGTCAGTTTCAGACATGAGTGCATCGTCTGGAAAGCGGAAGGCCCTCTTCCAGAGCCATATGCCGCGCACCTCAAACTCGTTCTGCTGCAAAGTCGGGCCTACGAGGGCGACCATTTCGCCTTCTAGCGGCATGCCCACGGCTAGCAACCACATGAAGGCCTTCCTTCCCCCTTTCTCGTCAGGCAGCACAGAGGTCCCACGCATCACGTAATCCCTCTTGCCTTGATGGCTGTGATATTCTGCGCCACTGGCCACCAGAAATCGCTTTGGCCGACACTTTCCTAGCTTCCTCTTGTCGCCGAGCTGCACAGCTTGAATGAGAGAATAAGCCGGTGCCCTCCAACCCACGGACACCTCCTGCAAACCGTGGCCAGTACGCATGGGCATATACCAGTTGTAGCTGCCTGGGTGCTCTGGAGGGACCACATAGATTTTGTCGCACCCATAGGCATTCACTGCTGTCTGCTTTCCTTACTCGTGTCAGCTCCATGAAGGAACCACGGCCTAGGACCTAGCTCAGACTAACGCAAAACACTCTTACAACAGAGTTGGAGTTTGAGAAGTTTCCGTTGTAGGGCCCGCAGATTCGGTAAAGAAGCTGTGCGACATCAGGCAATTGACCTCTCTTCCTGGTGATGTGTCACAGATTGGGTGACCCTCTTTGGCTGCGCGTGCTGGCGCGTCACTTTGCGACTATGATGGGGGCTCATGACCAAACAAGAATGCCAGAACTACGCGCAGAGAGGACAGCACCAGACTAAACGCAATAAACAAAAGGAGCAATCATCAGAAACACCAGCTTGCAGAGAAGGACGGATCTGAGAGCTGCAGCAAGGGGCCCTCGTTTCGAGAAATTGCGTGCAGCGGTACAATGAGGGTACAATGACTACACTGTAAGTGCAAGTCTGGATCAAGAGCTACTGCAGCTAAGAATTGCGTTGATTTGCAGAGCATTGAAATACTTCTCCTCCAACAATAAGCCGCCCATTCCCACCAGGCCCTGTGCAGGAGATATATAACAGCACTGCTTAGAACTTTTCACCTCTCAAATTCTGAGCCATGCATGAAATGCAAAAATAAACCCTCCTCCTTTTTTCGTCGTGGTCATCCCAAAAGATAACGGTCGACGCCTCCACCTGAGCCGGGGCTCAGAATAGACTGAAGAGTTTACTGCGAGGAACCACTTCACGGGAGCTTTGGGAGGCCCGATTTCAATGGGAACCCTATGTCAGAAATCCCATGATGTGAAATGTTTCCATGTCCAACGAACTTCCTGCACATGTGTATTAACAAATCGTCGAAATGCGCCTCACACAGAATGAGCTCGAGTCTAGACTCCAATTTGAGGAGTTTAGATTATCTCACATGAGCGCGAAAGATCTTCGACTCTTCGGCGTCAAGGGCATGCTCAACGCTTTCAACGCTGCTTAGACTTTTCTCAGAGAAACACACCACGCTGGCCTTGCTTCCAATACCGTGCTCAACCACCCAGAGAGGCTTCATGCACCTGGATGAGAGCTCGCGTCGGGAACTGTATGGCATGGTTAGTGGACATGCGCAGTTGAAGTGATGCAATACCGTTGATGGAAAGAAGTGCCGTGCCTAGAAAATCTTTTGGGTATTGGGTTGGGGGTATCTTCCCTCTCTTTTGGTGAGACAGAGACCCAAGGCCGAACTTGCTCTCTTGTGCCAGAAAGCACTGCTCTGGCAAACCTTGCCCCTGCGTCCGGACCACATGAAGCAGCCATGAGCTCTGTCTTGGAGAGCAGAACCTTCTCGCAACATTGTTTAATTGCTGGGGGAGCTGTTTACCTTTATCCTCTCAAAAACAGAGTTCTGATCTTATGAAGCTCTACAAGACAAGATTCCTGGATATTCCTGCGTTCAACTGCTACAACCCCAACCCACAACATCGTCCAAAAGTCATCGTTTATCCAAAATCCAAAAATCCCAGCCTATACTCACAGTTGCTTTATCTGCTTAAGAAGCGGAACTGCAAGCGCAAGAAGATCCACGCAACGCTGCAAGCTTTCAAACCTATATCCTCTGAGAAAAGCCCCTGAACCAAAACCTTCCGCTAAAGTCGCTTGGCAATGTCGACCACCGTATTGACATCGCGCTCCGTCATCCCTCTGGAGGCCTCCAAGCAGCTGTAGGGCTTTGGATTCAAGGCTTGTGGATTCATGCAGAAAGTGCTGGCAAGGGACTGGGGTTTAGGCTTGAGCGGCCCAAACAATTAGACTTTATGGCAGACGTGCTTCCGCTCTCTGGTGGCGGATCTTGCCAAAGCATAGGATTTGAAAGGGCCAGTGTTACTGGATATTCAAGGGCTTTGATGCTGAGTATCTCCAGCTTGTGCGGTGAGCAAGGAATAAAGCCTTCGGCATTGGCTGACCCGCAATTGCCTTGCCCCGGGCTGAATAACAAGAAGCTACTTTGACATTGCGCTCGTTTAGCACGCGAATCCTGGGTTGCCTGCCAAGAAAGCTGACTGCCGATGAAGTAGATTTGTCGGAGCCCTGCTGTAAAACCCTTGTACCCGCGGATGCCTCCATGGCGTTTCCGGCGCCAGGCGCAGAGGGCCACCACAAAGCTGTCGCTTCACTGGCCTTTTTTTCCTTGACCGCTTTCCTTGCAAACACACACGTCAGGAGTCATTCAACGAAGGCTAGAAGGCCCATCCAGCCTAACAGCGACATGACAATGCCGATGTTCAAAACATGGTGTAGCATAGGTTTGTCGGCAGGGGATCATTGCCCAACTGCGGACTGCACATGCGGCCGTGGTGCTTGAACTGCTGGTAGCTCTCACCCAAGTCCTAGGTCGCAAAGATTCTGAAGGCGCTTCAGGGCTGGGTCCAAGGATTCCAAAGGTTCACCTGCCTTTCGATCTCAGTGCCTGCATCCGAAATCCCAAGCCAACCCGCGACGACGACTGCTAGGAGTTTCACCGAGGTTCATAGATGCCAGGGCTTTGGCCAACTGCCAGGAACCCAGTTGGTGCCAAGGTCCAGGTGAGCAACGCTTGCAAGCGCGGGTACAAGACTTTGCCGTCAAGCTGCAAGGCCTCAGGACTGGACAAGGGCTCTGTCAATCTGCAAGAGTTTTGTAAAGCGCCCCTAAAGGGTAAAGACAACGGACCCTAAGGCTTCCGATGCTTGGGGCTTAGCTTGCATAGGCCCCAAGGCTGTATCCATGTACGCAGGCAAAAGTTCACCGGCAACACTTAGGAATTCATCCTGACAATGTGCCATACCGCAAGTCATGAGGTTTGTCGTTGTTGAGCCAGAAGGCTTTGTCAAAAGACCCCTTCTCTCATCCAATGCGTTTGTGCGGTTTCCGTCCAACAGACAATGCCCATTTCTGAAGACATGGGTGCCCTTGAAGCCCTGTTCGCCGCCAAAGGCTCCTTATTAAAAAGACTCATCGAGAAGAGGGCCACAAGTCACCCCTATATAACTCCAACAGACCCAATGAGAGCTACATCTCAGAATTCGTGAGGTGTGACGAGGTGGTCCTACCACCAACTCAGTGCCGCGTACCTCATTGCATACTGGATACGTCTTTACCTCTAAGCCCATGTCCGCAGACCTCTGAAGAATCACTCCGTTTGCGCCTTAATCATCTGGGATGTACCCAGCTCTAGCGCGTGTCATCCTGAAGAAAATCAATGCAAGGCGCTTCTGCTACATCGACTGGATGATAATCCTGCCCGCGGCCATGAGCCAAGTCCAAGATAAACTCCACCCTTTCCAGCTGCGAAGCTCCAACACCTCCTTTCTGCTTTGGAAGAAGTCTCCTTGGTGCTTTGGCATGCAGTCCAGGAACTCAGTCTGAACTGCATTTGTCAGTGCGATTTGCAGTCTGTGCAGCAAAGGCTCCTCATCGACGTAAGCAGCTCTACTAGCTTTGACGTGAACTGGGACCAAAGCCTGGGGTTGAGGTGCCATTGGAGCGTCTTCCAAAAATGTTCTGGAATCCTGCCCACTTGGCAATCTCGTCCCTGGAGCCACTCGCAACAAAGCGCATGCACGATCAACGGCTCTGACAGCCTATCTTGGTCAAGCTCCAATCGAGCGTTCACACCATATCTCAGGAGGTCCAAGTCCCAATCACCTAGCTCTGTCATGTGGTTGTGGGGAGTGGACATTAAGTCACACACGTTCAGAGAGAGTGCAGATGCGAGTATGGCACCGTGCACGGCCAAGTCCAAAGTCCAGCCCAGCACAACCAGGCGTGCCAGTGGCACATCCACAGGAAGTTTCAAGCAAGCGGCGCCTAGGGTGGTGGGTCGTTGGCCGGCCATGGTCACGAGGCCAAGATCTTGCAGCTCTTGGATTGCATACCTAATGCGATGGTCCTGAGGCGGGTCGGGCAGAAGGTTCAAGACGTTCTTGACTGTCAGTTGCAGCAAGTGCAGCTCTTCGCTGCTGGCGTAGTAATGCCCGGTTTCATGTGAAATTTTCCAAAGACCTCTCGCACCATCGAAGTGGAGCACAACATCATCCCTGCGGTTGGTTTGCGCCTGGATGACACTTAGGCCACTGTGAGCATGCAAATTGGACAATGATAAGCTCTATCTGACTTGCGACTGTGGACTTGTCATCCTGCTTAAGTACATGTTTTCTGCAGCGCCCATCTGGTCTAATTCTATGGGCTAGTTTGCCTTCGCATCGAACGTATTCCCAGCAGAAGCCTGATTGCCACCTCTAGTACGACAAGAATATAACTTCAATTGCCGGAGATGTTGATATTGCCACTGATGAGTTTTCTGCTCCACTGCCATGATGTCTTATTATCGTGATATGTCTCAATGGAAAAACTTTCCCCAACAAGGACCCAGGCACGCCCTTCTTGGTAACCGGAAGCCCTGCTCGGACAGCATCTACCGAGAGCTGATCAGCTAAATGGGCCGCCTGAAGAGCGACCTTCCTAGGCTCTTGCTGAGGGAGCGTTAAGAAATGCCATTTTCTAGAAAGGCTCCCGATCAATGGTTGAACAGACTAAGGAGGGAGGCAGGGGAGGAAGGAGGGGAGGGCATCGTGTTTTGTCGTGCCTCCTTGCACGTCCTTCGTCGTCGGGTCACGGTTGCCAGCATCTGGGTTCATGGCTGCCATCTGATTTTTGTTGGGATGTAAAACTCAGACCATTCACAAGTTTGACTCAATGATGTCGCAGCGTCGTCAGCGCTGACCTGGCAAATCAACAGGGCAGAACTGTCTCAGCAGCATGGTCTTGGTCTTCACGATCAATTTTAATGCTATACTAAGACAAATGCAGACTAACATGCCAAAGACCAAACATAACACTGCTAGAAATACCTTCCCGCGCCACCAGACATAAACCCCTGGTTCGCCGACATCCCGCACTTTGCAAATGGCACCAAGATGCTTCGCCAAGTGCATGTATCTTGCCTATTTCCAACCAAGCAAGAGACCCGCAACCCCACACGCGCCTCTCCACACCGCTCTTATCGAAGTCCTGCAATTCCTTGTAGAGCGCCGCTGACACGAAGCAGAAGTATTTTCCGGGATTTGTTCGCCCGGTACGACCGCGTCGCCTGGGTCGGCAAAGAGATGAGAGTTGATTAGAAACCATTCTTTCTCCTGGTTGGGGTCGCCCTTGCATATTTCCTATCATTAAATCTGGTTGACCCTGGCCCAGTAGCTGAACCAAAGATGCCTGAGAACACCAGGTAGTCAGCAGGAAAGACATTCTCGCCTGGCGGCAGTCATCCTCACACGCTGCAAGTGCTTGCCTACACATAATGACACAGTTTGCGAGAGCCTTGGAACTGGTGTCAAATGTCTGTGCAGCAAAACGCAGATGTGAAAGCTGTGATGAGCCGTGGGCTGCTTAGATCATGAGGACAAAAATATAACCTTCACGCCTCGCATGGCCGTGCTGCAGTTAAGTAAAGCCATGTTTTGTGGCTTGCCTCATCCTCATAGATGTTTTGGCGGTGCAGCGCAAAGTCAATGACAGTCTTCACGCCCGGGACTGTCAATGATGACTCTGCGATGTTCGTGGCTATAACGACCTGCAGCAAACACTCAGACGGACAGCTGCCTTTCCCACCCTGTCAACTTAAGCTACAGTCATCTCTCTTGCGCAGCCACAAAGCCACAAAATCTAAGTTGTTTTGGTTGTAGTGAGCTATGGAAACGGCCACTATGTTCAACCTCCGGTTACCCCCTGTCACCATGATTCAAGGGTATCTTACCTGTCCTGTAAAGGAACCCCTTGGCCGTGGCAGCCTTCCATTCGTCCTCCTCTGGAGCATCCAGGGCGTGTCTGTACGTTCGCTCGTCCAAGGACGAATGCATCAGGATGACGTTGGGCTTCTTCTCGGACATTCGCCATTGGGCAAATAAGCCCCGGTATTGACTTTCTAGATGGTTGGCAAGCTCATACATCTGGTCCAAGCCTGGAAGGAAGGCAAGGATCACGCAGCTGCTAGCAAACCTGGGTCACTTTTTGCTAGGTTTTCACATATTATGGAAGCTTCCGTCATCTGCTCCATGTGGTGAAAAATTACCCAAATCAGTCAGGCTTTTTCTGAATAATGTCCCAGGAACTGACCAGGCATGGTGGGATTCCTCTGGTACTCCTCGAAGTGTTCCCTGTAGAGGTAGCACATGAGCCGGGCAGCTAGTTTCGTCAGGTTTCGACAGGCCTGCGTCAGCCTATCCGACCAGAACCTTTCACGCGCCACCTCCCGCTTTCGGGATGGCATTAGTTGGGAGAAATCCTGCTCCTTGCAACCGGCAGCGACACCCGGATAGCGGTTGTACACGTCGTTTAGCACAAAGTCAGCGACTTCGAAAGGGCTGCCGCCATCTAGGTGGAGTGGAGCAGGCTGGTCTACGGCTGGATTTGGAAAGATTGCAGGCTTAAAGAACATTTTGAGCTTCCCCATCTGGAACTTTGCAGACATGATGACAATTCGTTGTCTCTGGGTCTCAGGTCTGGATAACGCCATGCGTAAAAATGCCATCAGGAAATCGGCCTCCACAAATCGTTCATGGACTTCATCCAGCACGATGTGGCTGAAGGTTTCCAGATGCTTTGGATTGTGCACGACCGCTTCCAGCAAGTGGCCCACCGTAACATACACTATGCGAGCACCTGGCCGGGTCAGGTTTCAAGGCCCCACATTTCACGTGAGGAGCTTCACTTCTAGAACACCAAGGGTCGGGTCACTTTTCAGGACTCAGAGGTCCGCATCTCACCAATAAATTTGGGAGTTTGGGATCTTCTATGCCAAAAAAAACACGACAAGCAACATCTGGAAGCAATATTTGCCTTTAAGAAAACTAGAATCACAGGAGCTGCAGTAGAAGGACCCCTGTTTACACCACAGCAAATTGTGAATCCCAACCTTTGTCCCATTTTTCACCGCCAACTCTGTAGCCGACCTGGGTTGCATCAAGCGCTTCCAGCAACAAAAAATAGAGGGGTTATATTGCGGTTATATTATCTAGGGGTTATATATTATGAAGCCGTGCCTCCTACAAGGTTCGAAAATTCATGATTCAGAGTTATCCCGGTCAACACGCTTCTCTTCAGGTGAAAAAACTCCCACACCATGGCACAGGTCCGAGCAATGAGTGCTACTGCTACCTTTGCGGCCAATTTCACGATGGATATCCAAACGGTGAGCCTTCCGAAGATGACCCCGTGCTTCTGAATACGAGGGTGCCCGGATATCCATCCAAGAAAGCATTATCACCCTACAGGCTTTGGAAGAAACATAACTTCCTTGTGGGGTTTTGTGCATTTTCTCTAGGAGCCACTTCTCTACTTCTAAAGGTATGTGTACATGTCTTTCCTAGGCGTAATCTCCATTCTCTTGCCCCAGCCGCGAGTTCGCCGATGTTCTTTCCGGCCAGCTCCGATACTCTTCGGGCCAAGCCTTTTGCCTTGTTCTCCAGTTTAGATACGGCTTCAAGGCTCCTACAAGGCTTTTGGGTCATTGGGCTCTCGGCTTCCTCACAAAATAATGAAATCTACAGCAAAGAATAGTCTCTGAACTGCGCATGCAGAGCCCGCCCCATGATTTCAACCCTGTTCCTCGCATTAGCACAGAGTTCTGCGCATGACGTATATCCTTCCGTTTTGAGAGATTTAGCAGTTCCATGTTCCAGGTGGATCGTGGCATTTCCCAGAAGAAGTTCTCGAAGGTGAGCTCTAGTTTTGGGAGCGAAATTCAGCTTACCTCTCCAAGATAAGGGCACACGAATCTGGCCCTGACCCGCTTAAGCCTGAGCATCCCCAACGCAAAGCAACCTCAGTCCAATCACCTCATGTAGAAGCATGGCTAGGAAGATTAGACCCCCTCAAGCCCCATATGGCAAAATTAGCTCCAAACCCTGGCCTTATTCAGACGCGTAGTCTATGTAAACTGCTGTGCATCCTTGCTACCGCAATCTTCCTTGGCTGGGTGACCACTATACGGCAGCTCCGGCCGTTTCTCTGACCTTGGTCGTTTGCGGTTTGCGGGTTGATCTATGCCCCCGACTGCGTTCATACGCACCGCGGGTAATGGCAGGTTGGAACGACGAAATCAGCATGAGGATGTACGGGTTTGGAGGAAGACAGTCTGCAAGACTGATGCAGGGGAGTGCTGTATAGATGGCATTCAGCATGCTTGGACCTCACATTTACCACATTCAGTGATTTGATCGGATTATGAGGTTGCAACTCCCCTCACTTTGTAAAAATGTACCCAACAATGATCCAGCCACACTGTTGGACCAGGCACAGTGGTACCAGTGTTGACTTTCCGGATCCCGTTGCTGCATCAATCACCACTAGCCGGTTTTTCTCCACCATGTCTTGAACTGCTTGGCATTGCTGAAACATTGGCAAATCCGAACCTCCGTCGATGCCTCTTTGTACAGCGGCCACCTGAATCTGACAGTTGCCACGGGTCCTCTTGATGTGAGGTTTTAAAGATAGAAGGCTTCAGAGTAAAGCTGGGCATTTTGTTCACCGCGCAGCTACCCTGCTACAGACCAGAGTCCCCATCCTGCAAACAAAGCCGACGAGTTTAAACAACTTAACTGCCTTCCAAACAGCCATCCTCCTTGCCCTTCTTCCAGTAGAAGCAGATAGGCCATGACAGGCACCCTTATGGTATCCGTTTCTGCGAACTGAAAACAGCAACCCTTGCCTCATCCATGCTTGGTGCAGCGTCAAACCCGGGGAGTGGCAAAGGCTCGAGCTCACCTGGACAAAGTTGTTTCGAAAGGCAAGAAAGGCGTTTTTTCTCCCAAAGTTGCATGAACAAGTACACATCGCTTGATGTAAAGGGATCTGGGAGGTTCTCCTTTTTGTGCTTGTAGATATCACTGCTGAGGTGTTTCCTGTAAGCTCCTACACCCCACCTTTGCAAACCTCGTCTCACTTCTGCTACTGGGTTCTCAGATCATGGGAAAGCAAACTGGTGATGGAGTTTTGCGACTGGGAAGGCTGCTAGAAATATTTTTGCAAGCATCGGCCGGCAACAACGGGCAAACAAAAAACGAGGTCGCGGCAGCACACTTGTGAGTCTTTATTGCCACCACTTGCAAGTTCTTAGAGTCATAATGATAGCGCATTGGACCCCTGCAAGAAGGCCAAAACAGTGTGACTCCTCCTGCAGCCGCAACAGCCTGCACATTATCGCTCCTTGCAAACATGACCATACTATGCATGGTACGCATAGCCCAATCTCTCTCTCTGTCTCTGTGATATCCCTCAAGCTCTCGCTCTGCGACCTTTTAGCGGTTTTATCGTGAAGAAAGGTGAACTCATGAACTCCAGAGGTTGCCATGTCCTGAAACCCAAACTAAAACGCATGGATCCTTGGTACAGGACACCCAAGAAAAATTCCACAAGTTGTGGCATCTCTACATGCTTTACCCATGTGAGGATTCTGATGGGACAGTCTTACTAACTTGTCAGGCTTCTGCTCGACTTTTGAACTTGAATCTTCGGCCAAGAAGCGCAGTGACTCCTTGGGGGCTGCCTGGGAACCGGAAAAGGACTTTGCTGGCCATACACGTGCTACTACCACTTGCGGTAGTTCAGTGTATTTGCAATGGAATGGTAAAGCGCATTTCGAAATCCAAGCACTGCGACAATTAGCATTCACAGGGGTATCAGTAGGCAGCCAAACGCAACTAATGCTGGCCAGGAAGGAAGGTCTTCCCGTTTCTGGAGTGTTGTGGTAGTGCAGCTATGCATGGGTTGAAATCTCTCTCTCAGGAGGAACTCTGTTAGATCCACTCACTGGCTCATGACTTTACGCATGAACCCTCTCCTACAACTTCTAGCATTCCAACAAGTTGGTCAGGATCCTGAGAGGGCACTCGCAGATGCTAGCATATCAGAAGCCCAGTGAGTACAAATACCTGTAACCTACTTCTGACAGGAGAAGGGCCGTGGCTTTTGTCAAGGCCTCCTGTGCGCTTTGCTTTGCGCCCTCACGGTACTGAAGTGGGCTTGTTGATAGATGGACCTCACTGTTGCCCAACCTATTCTTCCTACTACCAGGATTGCCACAGCTTTCCTCCTTGTTGTGCAAGCTGCTGTAGCTTCTGGCAACAGGAATGCAGAGGCATCCTCAGCATCCCGTGGTGGCGCAGGCGGAGGTGGTGCCGCAGCCGTTGCAACATAGCCGTTGGCCTTCCCGGCATATGCTACAGTACGTGGGGGTACATTCTGGATCCTCGGGTATCAGGGCTCACCCCACAATTTCTTTCCGCGAAATTGTCTGGATAAATGATTCATCCAGTACAAGGATGCTCAGATGTTGGATCACCTGCCCAGGCCCGAATTTTCAGCGCAACCCTGCGTACTTTTTTTCGCTGCAGCGGGGTACTTTGGGAAACGCATCCTTCTGTGAAGGCCCTGGTAGGAAAGCTTCCCCGAGATCCTGCCCCAAGAAAGAAAGACCTGAGCCAGCCTCCGGTCTCACAGGTGGCGGGGGTTTCGGAGCTGGTGGCGCTGGCGGCCTCACTGCCCGCACGGGGAACCAGCCCTCCGCGTTGTTTTCGCTTTGCCTGGGCCAATCAGGAATTCAGGAGGGGAGAGTGGGGAGGAAAGGTATCCTGAATAGGGCAGATGAAGCAGCTTATGAAGATGCTCAAGGCTTTGCCTCAAACAAATTCGTGCATTCATTTAGATGAGATGTAGGAGCGCTATCAACGGACCAAATCACGATGGACATGTCAAACGCTGCTACACGACGTTTACAGGTTTCTGCAGGCTTGAAAACTTCCTTGTGAGGGAGCGAGAGAGAGAGAGAGAGAGAGAGAGAGAGAGCGCGAGCGAGATTCGGTGAGCTGGAGCGAGACATGATCATAAGAGAGCACATTAATTATGACATCTCCGTTCATGATGCGCTGAAATCGGTCAGATTCCATCTGAAGCAAGTCGCAGGGGTAAACTCTTGGCAGCCTGAATTACATCAGGCCAGAATGAATCTGTCCCCAGCGATGATCTCCAAAGCTCCGCTTCCCCGCAAAGATCCCTTTATAGCCCGTGCACCAACCTGGTCTTGACAATGGTATCCTGGACCGAAATTCCAGAAAATTAATCAATCCCTAGAAGGCCTACAAATTGCCCATGCGACCTACGTATCCCCTGGAGTCTTCGTCCCACAGCTAGTGCCCCAACTCTCTGAGGCCGCAGCCGCCCATAAAGCCAATCGGCATCACACTTGGACTCAGAGCCCACGTACATGACCCGGACATTTTGCCCCGGTTTCAGGACCTAAGGCCCAAACAACTGAGTCAACGCAGTGCGAGTTTTCTTCTGGATTTGCGGAAGGAGTACGGGAAGTCACTGCAGATGACAAGGATTCAACGCAGGAGAAAATCGTGAGGAAAAACGTGGGCCTACAAATGCACAAGTCTAGGGCCATGCTTGGAGATGGATGATTTTTGTTCTGGAGAGCTGTACACCAAACCAGGCACCATTAGTTCATTCTTGCTATAGGCTTCTTGTTGTTGCAAGCAGTTGCCAAACGCCGCACATTTCGGGGTGTGTTTGGAGTTGTAGGAAGAAACCTCTTCGGAAGCAGCAGCCCCACCTGAAAACATATCTATGTTGACCTGCTGCCGGGAAGCCAGGTAGCCCTCGGCTTCCGTGTACTCTGAGAATGGTGACGTCACGACCTGAGCCAAAGTCTGGCAATACTGTAATAGTAATACTACGAATAATCATACTAATAATAGTAAATATCATGGTAATACTAACAATAGCAAAGTACTCATATTAAGAATAATGAGAATGATAATCATGATAATGCCATTTTCCTTCCTGCGTTTAAGGTACCGAAATTCCATGGCTCCCTGTTTTGCCATCGAACCGGTCGCATAGGACCATTTCTGTCCGTAGTAGCTTCAGGGGAGACTTTCCGGAGTATGAGGATCTTAGTTATGTCCACGTAGCCAAACATGGTCAGCGAGAAGCTTCCTCATGACTTAAATTTTGACTAGGTTTGTGACGTCTGTGCTTACCCTGCTTGCTGCCGTTCTGGACTTGGTGTAGCCAGTGTAAACCAAAAAATACTCCCAGCTCAATGTGTCTGATCAAGAAACGAAGACCCAAACGCGTGGGAAGTGTCAGGGAATGACCAACCTCGCCCTTGCACGCCAGAGAGTAGAACTAAGGTCAACATGTCCAAAACGCCTGAAGTCCAACGGCCCTACTAACTTACATATATATATATATGTATGTATATGCAATGTGCCTCACATCCAAGATCTCCTGTAAGTACAGCTCTAGCTGCCGCGATTTCTTCACATAAGGTGAATGCCCTGTGGCCGAGACCCTGCTAGGCTTATCGTGCTCCCTTCAGTAGGATGAAGCTAGGGAGTTTCCAGGTTTGACAGCGCAGCGGTGTTGTGATGTAATTGGTCAAGGGCCACAAGAAACCGTGGGGATTGGCGAGTTTTTGGCACGCTTCAGGCTCTGGATTTTGGGCTTGAAGTCCATGAGCAGAACTTCATTTTGGGGACGCAGCAGGGTGCTGCCACTGTTTTGGTCATGCCTGCTTCATGTACAGGCAGCCTCCGACCATTTCAAGTTGCCAGCACTTGCAAGAACCTGGTATTCTGTCCTTGAAGCTCTTCATACCTTCCATGTAGCCCCAAGCCTACAACCCTAAACCCAAGTTTCCAAGCTGACCAAGTCGCGCAAGTGCTACCCACTTTGGGCTGGAATGACATGGCTCTCCTGCATGTTGACACTTAGCATGTAGGCGGTGAGGTTTACAGCCTTTTGCAGACCCAACCGCCAGAACCTTGAGCTAACTAGCCAGGGCTAAATGTTTAAGATGTAGCACCCTGGGATCAGCTTGGAGGCCTCAGGATGAGTTAGGATATGGTCCAGTGAGAAGAAGATGGCACAACGCACACGAAGGCTCCATTGTGCCTTGTTTGGTCAAGCTTGCGCGAATGATTGTTCGGAAGCAGGGGAAGCGGTTGTGGGGAGCTGTTCGAAGTGCCTGTATAGCTACATGTGTTTTTTTATACTTTGAGCCAGTCGCTTGTTTCGCTTTCCCGCTCCTGCCAGCAACAACCTGCCTAGCGGAGCATTCCCATGGCTGATGGCGGGCGACGCACTTATATGAGAATCTCTGGTTTGACTTGAGTAAAATTGTCAGGTTGAAGCGGGATCTCTTGGTGTGGGGTCAATTATGGGTCCCCCTATTCAGAGAAACTACCATTTGGGATCAAGTAGGGTGTGGGGATTCGGGTTGATGGCTCAGATTCGAGTTTAGGGTTTCGAAGGCAGCGCACGGGTCCAAACAATTTCGTGGTAGCATTGGGGCTTGTCTAGGGATCATGGCCGCTAGGCATGTGTCGCGCAATATGCGCAAATAACCAGGAATCTGGTCCTGCCAGCTCAGGGTGGAAGATGCTGCGGATCGAATGAAAGTCACGGCATCAGTCTATCCACATGCAGGTCCACGGTGGGTTCTTTACATACGGGCTCAAGGTATGGTCCTTCCGGCGTACCTGTTGCAAAGGATCATGGTGTTGGGATGGGCATCTCTCCCTCTCTCTATACATCTCCTTCTTTTTGCTGCGCCTTATTCCACTGTATGTTTTCTCTCGGAGGCTCCTTGCGACAAATGATAACCGAGAAGCATTCCAAGCAGAATCTGTTCTACCCCGCCTGTGCCTGACGCCAGGCAGGACGTCACCTGCGTCCCGGATTTGCGAGAAAAGGGCTCCAGCAAGGAGTACAAGTACTTCAAATGGATGTCTGTGAATTACTGTTGGCCATCAACAAGATTTGCATGTATCCTTATCCTCCCTGTTGTTTCGGGTGACGCGCGCCAGTTACGTTCCTGAAGCGCCGTGGCAGGTCTGGGCTCTGTTGATCCCCTACTTTGTCTAGTCCTACTGAGGACGACTGTTGTCTGCATGTGTGCAAGCGCACCCACCGAAATTTCCATGTCAGGTGTTGATGTGGAGTGTAGCGGGCGGAAGGATAGAAGTGCTGCACTTGCGCTGACTTTACTTGACCGGTGCTGTGAGCAGAAAATTGTTTCAAGCGTGGTTGCTGGGTCCTGTCACAGTGTGGAGCCGTGCAAGGCTGAGAAGCTGTCCCTCATAGGCCTGAAAATCAAGATGTATCCTCGAAGTTGTACGGCTTGCGGTTGACAACATCCATGGTATATCATAAGAAATGTTCATACATGGTGTGCTGTTCTAAGCGTTGGGTTCTAGCGCACAGATTGCAGGATGTTGGTCACAGAGCGAGGGCGCACCCGAATTGCAATGAAAGAGCCATCCGAACGTCTTAGCGCATGTTATACAAAAGGGCTTGAAGCGGATGAAAAGAGGGAAATTAGAACGTTCAATTGCCGGATTAGACAATTGAAATATCGTCAACGCATACTACTCAAATCAAGCGGCAACAAAATTCACCCCCAAAGAAATCCCAAACCCAGCAATGAACCGACAGTGAGCTTAAATCTAACGATGCAAGGAAAGAAGACCTGCCCATGTTCAAAGCTAGATGAGCTATTGTCTAAACTCCTAGTCTCCCCCGTAATGAAGCCTAAAAAAGTCCCCTAATAATCCCCTGTATAAACACCCTTTAAGGAGTTCAGACTGCAGCTCAGATGAAGGTGATAGGCAAAACTTCAGATTTGAACTGGTCAAGGTTTAAGGATGGCTTGACTCTGTTTCCGATGCTGCAGCTTTAACATTTCATGTTCGAGAATCGCCTGAGTTTGCCCCGCTTAGTATTAAAATCATTCCAACTACTATTTCTATTTTTATGATTATGGCTACTACTGTAACAATATTGTTTCTGCAGAGGATGCTCGCATTTCTGTAGTTTGGGATCAGATTTAGGCCTGATGTTTTGGGCCTTTTCGAGTTGGTGCAACACTAGCAGGTGAAGTAATGAGGAACTGGTAGCAGTCTAAGTCACGTAGGCACTCAGCGGCATCTGTTTGAATGATCAGCTTCTGGTATGCCATCACACTGCCCATGTCCGTGCAATATGCTGCGGGCACACAGACCTTTCTTCATCACCACACAGTTGCTACAACGGGTGCCGACAATTTGACATTTCCGGTGCGCGGTGAGAAAGCGCAAGACCGAGTCCATCACGTGTTGATTGCCCAGCACCCAACACGCTGCCGTGGCCGCGCAGAAGCCAAACAGACTGGAAGAAACGATGGAAACGCAATTCTCAACATCGTGGAGAATATGGAAAGCGTCAGGCCAGCTTTCATGACCAGTGAGAAGTGCTCGCTGGAAGAAATGGTCCGCAAAGGGGTATCAAACACGACAAAATAATGGATGAATGGTGGGCTGACGTCGTTGCGGCGCTATGAACATTCTGAAACATAAGTGTGATGTTACGAGGCATCAGTGGCTACAGATTATAACATCATTCTGATGACAACCTTATTCCAACCATAGTACTATTCTCGCATCTTTAGGAGCGACTGTTTCTATGTTCTCGCCTGAAATGTTTGAGGTTGGATACTCTGGTTTTTCTATGTGCCAGGGGATACGGGTCTGGGCATGGC